CAGTAATCAATGCGACTGGTAATAAAAGCATGCATCAGCATCTCCGTGTTGGCCCGAGAGAGAATAGGGCGGACTCTGGCTATATTTTTTAGATGATAAATATACCACAGCAGCCCTGTATTTACAGTAATTATCAAAATCATTCAGGGCCCAAGCCTTATTGTAATCACTCCATTCATTATTGTAATTATTAAAGCAAATGAAGGGGCTTTTTGGGGGGTTTAACATATTTAAAAACTCATGAAATATTGCACACGTGTCAAGTCTGGTGAAAATTTTATTATTATTTTTGTTTCAGACATGGGTGGGGCAAAATGGCTCGGAAAACCCCCCTGCACAGTGAGGAAAAATTACGTCCCCGTGCTGGGTTTCACATAGTTGTATGAAATTTGGTACACGTGTGTAACATGCAAATCCATGGGTCCGATAGACCCATGTCCCAAAGCCAACAGAAAGACCGCCACTTCGAGTTTTGGCACAGCTTTGACCATTTCCAGTTGTTGTACTTTCGAGAACTTCTCCTTAGGGTTTTATCAGATGAACTTCACATTTGGTCAGTCTAAACTGCAGACCTAGGCAATATTGAATTGTAGATCATTTGAGTTTTTGTCAACGGGCGTGGCCGTGGCGCCCTGGCAAATTTCGATTATTTGCCATCAAATTTTATTTGCTCTAATTCACGCATACATTGTCCAATCTGGACTAAACGTGTGGCTGCACTTTTTAGCACTGGAGGTTCCAGCCTCAATTCATTAAGAGCAACAGATTCTGATGTTGCTAAACTTAAATGTGCCCACTGTACACTTTTTTTCCCCTCAAAAATCAACACTGTTTCCATCTCATTGAGTAACATGCTGAATTAGCTGCTAGAGGATTTGGGATAATCTTTTTCTTAATTTTAATTTTAGACGTGATTCTCTTTTTATTTATTTTTTCCTATACAGTGAGGGGTGAAGTGGTGTGCAATGAGGCAGAGGAACTGGAGATGCCATTGGAAAGATATATCGAGGACGTCGAGCAAGCCTTTACAGGGAGAGAAAACTCCAACACCTACAACTTCACTTTGACACCTAATCCCCCAGGTCACAGTTCCACTTTGACACTGACATATGAGAAGATGCAGAAGGATATCTCAGTAAGTGCTGCATGTCTAACTCATGAATGAGTTGGACCTAATATCTCACTATGACACCCAGATAGCAGTGGGTTAGATAAACAGTGTAGTGTGGTTAAGCTGGCCCATTTTTGGCCCATTTTGAGTCGACTTTTCAGTCGAGCGACGGTTTTGGGATCGGCCCGAGTTTCGCTTTAATCGTGTGTTGTGCATCGTGTAGTATACATGGGGTAACGAGAAGCGATTAACACCTCACGACGAGCTCCCGATCAACAATTGTATGGTTGCAAGAAAATCAAACCTGTTTGAAATCCTGTCGCCCGTCGTGATGGTATCAAAGCAACCTCTCACACTGCACACGCGCAAACACAGAAATGAAAGTGAAAAAGACTTATTTAAATGTCAGCAAGCCTTGTATTTTGACTTTTGCACTACTTTTCTGCAGGTTAAATGAAACTACCATGTTTTCTGGTTGTCATGGTTCCTCAGTGTATTTTTTTGTCTTTTTGTGGTTACTGTGTATCTCTGTAGTGTGCTTATTTTTGTCTCTTTCTTCATATTTTGTGGTTATTTGTTGTAGTTTTATGAATCTTTTTGATTTGTTTCTTGTATTTTCAGTTGCTCTTTGTCGTTTGAATCTTTGTTCTTGGTTTGTGGCTTCACATTTAATATCGATTAGTGGCTTTATGAAGTATGACCTTTAGTATATTTGCACTGCTGGTGTTTCATATTTCGACAGACGGAGTGATGGTATTTGGCAGTTGACTGAGTAATGCTTCTGTAAAGGTTCACTGTGTGAATACACGTACAAGATTTAGACACAGGGCCTATGTTCTCATCGTAGTTGTGAAAAAAATGGAAATGTTGAGTGCTTCCATAACAGCAAAAGGGAAATGAATCTATGTTGCAATTAAAAAAAAAAAATGAAAGTACCATGTGTCAGTTTACTGACGTGTGCAGCAATGTGTTATTAGAGGTGACCAAGGCTTTTCTTCCACAACAGAGAAAAGCCCAGTTATTCATCTGTCATAAGGTTTTGAGTCATAACATGAGCCTTCACTGTAATGTCTCCCTATTTCTGCTCCTGTCAAGCTCTGCTGATTGCCAGCAGAGCCCAGAAATGAGTCTCACACTTGGAAATAGTCAACCACTTCAGGGAGCACCTAACTTTAGTATTTTAGATGGTATCTTTGGACACTGGCTGCATTTTCTCTCCTTTTCACTCCTTCCAGTCCTTGTATCTGACTATTTGCGCGCCCAGTTTTATCTGATCTCAGAAGCTGAGCAGGGTCAGATGGGTGAATACCAGGTGCTGTAAGCTATTATGCAGCTGTGGTTTAGGTAGTAGAGCGGGCCGTTTACCATTCCAGCGTTTTGAAGTATTCCTGAGCAAGATACTGAAACCTGAGTTTTGAGTGTGTGAATATTAGATAAGGAGCTTGCGTACAGAAAACAGCATGTGGATGAATGTGTGTGTGATTGGGTGAATGAAGCTTGTAGTAAATTGTGCTTTAAGTGCTCCAGGTAGAAAAGTGCTATGTAAGTATCAGTCCATTTACCATTTCTCAGGAAAATTGTGAATGTGAGGGTGAATGAATGGTGGAATTGTAAAGCGCTTTGACTGTCTAGAAAAGCGCTATATAAATGCAATCCATTATTAATATTATTAGTTGTTAATGGGAATACATCTTAGATTTTTAGTGTTAGACTATTAGGTGGGGGGATAAAGGAGAAATGCAACATTCACTCTTCTTGGTTGTAAATTTGGAGTAAGTGGGGGACCAGTCCTGAAATAAAAGTGTCTAGCTGTTAATTTATGTGAATCAGTGAGTCAGAGTTCCAAACAGTACTGTTGCTATGATGACATTGGAAACCTGTTGCTCTCAATATTTTGTGTTCAGCTGGCCTGCTGGTGCCTAAAACCAGTCAACAACATCCAGTTTGATTAGCAGCTTTACAACCTACTGCCCCTCACATAAGCCCTCAGGTAACAGTTGGAGGTAGGCTTATGATGACTAAGAGCACAATACTAACTCAGTGAATACAAGGAGAAGATAACTAGAACGTTTTTCCCAGAGCGTCTTAGAAAAGCCATTTTCATTTCAATATGTAATATTTCAGTCACATGTTATTTACTTACCATTTGTAAGAGTTGATGAAGTAATAGCTGGCAAAGGTTAGACACAGAAAAAACAGAAAGTGTGGAAATGCAGGAAGGGATAAATTACTGGTTTGTCTATTCAGTAGAAATTGCAGTTCCTCAAATGTTCTGCGAGTAAATAGTGAAATGTAAAGTCTTCCACTTCAGAGACGAAAAGATTGTTTGTCACGTAATTCTCCCTTCATACAACCCGAACAAGAGCCGAATTGTGACTGTAACTCACCACAATTGGGTTTGTTGATACTTAAAGTTGCGGTGTGGCTGTGTTGATTGAAACACAGGGGAAAACTATCCTTAAAGAATAAAACACTTTTTATTTCTTTTGTTTGTGCCAGGATTTAAAGATGCTTTTTAATGCTGTGAAGCTGAGTATTTTTACATTGTAGTCTGTGGGTAGTTTACGCTGGCATCAAATGATTAATCCAGGAACTGCTACTTAATTAAAACAGTACGTGGAGGATAGTATATCAGCATTTAGTGTCGATTTTCTGCTGTTTATCTCTCTTATCCAGTCTGGAGACACACAACTATTACTTCCCCCATGAAACACAGTTATTTATGGAGCTGTGGATCACAGGGGTCAGAAGTTAGAGCTGATACCCACATTTGTGCTCCATGTCTTTGTGTGAATGCAAACATGTTTGAGAGAAACGTTTGTTCCCCAGAGGCCACTGATCACTATGCTTGTGATATGAGTGAGATGGCCCATAACCTCAAATTAAGTCTAAACATAGTAGTTAAACTTTAATACTGTCAAATCAGACAGTTTTGGTTAGAGTTTTATTTCATTCTTTAAGTTTTCACTCTCTCTGATAGCCTTTCTTTAGTATTTAACCTCTCAAAATACATTTAGTAGTTCATCAGTAATGAAATACTTGGTAGTAGGGCTGTCATGTTAGGATATGGTTATGACAGCCCAAAGATCTTATCAAGATTATCAAATCATCTGTCAGTTATTTTGGATAAATACGTTATGAACATGTGCCAGTAATACAGGTCCATGAGAACACCACAGCTTGGTAGTTGTAGCTCTAAAAACATATATTTAGGTCACAAAGACTGCCTTTACAAAACTAAACAAGTCAGTTTGTTTGGTTGATTTTTCACTCCTTTCTTCCAGTTCAGGCTGGGCTGCGTTCTGCTGAAGGCCGTCCCAGAGCCAGCAGAGGCAGTGAGAAATTTACTGATTCACAGTCTGCAGAGGGGAAATAACCTGCAGCACCACAACCAGAGACTACAGGAGGAGAACGAGAGACTTCGAGGAGAACAGCAACACATCACTGCAGAGTAAGTACATGCATGGATGAACACACATGCATACAAAATCACAGTAAAGTCAACTTTACACCCAAACCACACAA